ATCATAATACATGTGTAACACGCTTCATAACATCATTTAACATAACATACAAGTATTTAGCATCCAAAGTCAAATATTGCATATAAAGTCAATTTAAACACAACTCACCTAACCATTTTGTGCATTATAGGTCATTTCAAGCATACTAAAGGCCTAGCATGTTATGTTCACTTATTGTCACTTGTCTAAATGGTTTAAACACTTGTTAAGGGCACACACCATCTTTTGGTCACTCAAGGCATTTTTGAACATATTGCATAACATGTAATCTAACATCAAAACTCATCATTTCATTATTCATTCATGAATCAAAGCATAATATAAGTTATTACGGGTCACTTATGCACTAGAAAGTGCCAAAAAAATAAATCAACTTAAAGTTCAACCTAGAATCCCATATTGCCTCAAAATAAACCAAGATTCAAAATAACTTTACAAAAGCTTCCTTTCTTTGATCACCACCAAGTGCCTTGCTTCCCACTTTCTCCCGAGTCAACAAGCAAGGATCTGAATAATATTGAACAACGAGTGTGCGCTAATAAGCCCAGTGAATAACTAAACACTCAAATATGATGTACATGCAAAGGCTAAAGAAAAGCATACATAAACCTTACTTGGTTTTACCTCAATGATCATACCACTGTCATGATTCAATGTCCACTTAATGCATTATAAATGAACACAAAATCCAGATTATAAACTTACTTGTATGCTATCATTTATTCAACAGCAAACACATACACTCATGCACAATTACCTCTTTGGCAAGTCACACATAATGAACACATTTTTTCGTTTAAAGATCAATGGCCTTTTGTTCAAAACACAACTCACTCATTGGATAAACAGACTCCATACAACTCCCATTTTGTTTGCGGACCCATTTAGGTCCAAAACCCATGACTTTCAGAGTAAAGCTCAACGAATTACCCCGTAATCTTCTCGGAGAAAAGCTCAACGCACCAACCTTACCCCATATAATTCCAATATCACTTACACTTGAACAAAACACCTAGAGTACTCTTTCCTAGGCATGCCTTTCATATACAAAGGTCCCATTAAGAACAAATAGCCAATTAATCCAAGTTTATCAAGAGCGTTGTCAATGATGCATAGTTTTCAATTATCCACTTCCAAACACATTTTTAAACACTATCACTTTTGGTTGTCATGATCAACCACACTTTTATGGACAACGAGAAGGTTAACTCGTCCATATGTACTTTCACTTATATATACTCTTTCAAATATGCTTTTGAAATCTCTATGCATCATTTGCAACACAACACAATTTACATAACACATTCACAACTTATACCATATTTCATATCAATTGCACATTTACAATTAAAATTCCTTGAATCACAATCTTTCAACACACCATAAGCCATAATCACCATGTCATGCCATATATGCACTAACAATGATCACATACTTTCATTACATGATAAGTCATATTCAACACACTTAAATACTCATGCTTGCACTATCAATTGTTTCCAATGCATCACAAATCATAGTTACCATATCAAAATTAGCATGTCTATCAATCATATTCTTTTAATATACATTAACTCATAAAAATCATACTTCCCTACTCATGCTCACAATGATCATTCAATTCCAATGTTCCACAACTTCTATCATAAGATATGTGCTCCTTTGTTAACATCATCTAATCAACACATCATGAATTCACATAATCAATTACCAACTACAAGTATACTTATTTCAGCATATAAAATTCATAGTTCACACACAAATAAACCTTCATTTAACATTGAACACATTCATAACAAGTGAATGGACATCCACTCACCTCAATGGCGCAACCACACAATTCGACCCCAAACACTAACCAAATGACTACCAACACTTGATGCACCATTTTCCCTCAATCATAAACATCTTAGTTACCTTAGAAAGAATTTAACATCTCACACAAGCAGCTAAAACATAGAAAAAAACTATACTTCTAAAACATTATGAAAATCAACCGAAAGATCGACAAATCTTACTGTTGACACGATCTAAACCTCCTAACTCAATGAAACCACTTTCCCTTGATTAAAGTTGATCAAGAACACTCAAAATAAGCACCTAAACACAATAAAATCCCATAAGAACAATATCAATCGTCACAATTCCCGGATTTTCGAAAAACACCAAAATCAAACTTGTTTTCAAGAAATCGATATCCAAATCAAAAGCAAATGAAAAACTGTTTTAGTATGATTATAATTATCCCAAAAAATCTTAATTTCATCAACAAAACCTCATAATCACCTCTAAAAAATTAACTCATTAATTAACTCCAAAAATCATTTTTAATTCATAAAACTCTCTTTAAAGAATTGTTTTCAATAAAACATCAATCACACTATAATCATTAAAGCAATAAAAAGAACCAAGGAAGGGGCATTACCTTGCTGTAAAAGAGTGAAAAGAAAAAGAAGAAGATCAACAATGGCATTCCATCATGATGAAGGAGAAATTGGCAAATAGCAAAAAAAGGAGAGAAATAACTTTGATTAAAGAGATAAATCAAACTAAAAAAAGATGAGAATTAGAAACCAAAAGAGAAGAAAAAGAGAAAGGTTCAACCATTATAAAGAAGTTTAGAGAATTTGGGAGAAGTTACAAAATGATTAGAAAATAGAAAATGAAGACAATTAATGAAAATTAGGAAATCAAAATAAAATTAGATTAGAAAATGTATCTCGATGGAATTTTGACTAAAAGAGAAGATTAAGAAACAATAAATTTGGAGGGAAAAACACTTAATACAAGCCTTTGTAAAATAAACTTCATAGATTTTAGATTTTGAAATCTTTATAATTTAGTCACTAAAATCACAACTTTAAAATCATTCAATTTAGGCACTTTAGTAAAATTAAATTATTAATTTCCAAAAATAGAAATAAAAAATTCCAAACCATTAAAATAATTTTAATCACTTTAGAAATTATTATCATTTAAAAAATATTAATTTAATATTTTTTACTGAAAACTCAAAAATCCACCCGACTACCTACCCGAAACTACCAGATCCGATTTTGAGATGTTACAACTCTCTCACCCTAAAAATGATTTCGTCCTTGAAATCAATTTATAGAACAGACGTGAATATTATAACCACCACACTTGATCATATTCATTGACAACTAACCTGAAGTTGTGAATACACCACAACAACACATCAAAGAACTTTTCATAATCCTAAGGATTCCCTTAAATGAGTTAAACCACAAAAACTCTCTAAAAAAAGAAATATTGATACAACCTTTTATCACACTTACAAAAATAATCATACAAACAATCAAAACGATTTTCCTATTAACATCGATTCATGGTAACATCACAAATACACTTAAAAGACCGACACAACCGACAAACAACAAAACCAATGTACACCACAACCACATAAGAACCACAAAATCCCTAGCCTAATCAATCACTAAGATTCACATCTCAAAATTCCTTTCACAACAAAACCCTCTAGAAAGCAAAAAAATAAAAAAATAAAATATCAAATATTGAAAAAGATTTCATTATTTAAATTTAAAAGGTATATAAATTTGAATCCACCGAGTAATTTTAATAACAAAAAAAGAATGTTATTTTTTCTAAAGGACTTGAGTTTGAATAATTGTGTTTATAGGATTTATGAATCAATGATTAACTTTTTTTTAATAAATATTACATTGTAATCATTTAAGACTATTCAATATATCTATATATTAAATATTTAAATTAAAAATTAAAGTCTAGATTTTAATTTATTTAATATATAGATATATGAATACTTAGCTTATTATTGATAAAAAAAGTTTGAGATGAGGACCTCCAAGATTCATTTAACTTCATCCATGTTCTTATATTTTATTTCAAATTTATATCATATATTTATTTATATTAAATTATTTTTATAAATATCAATGCCAAGTAATTAATATAATAATTTTACTGATATTGAATATTTTAGATTTTATCACATATATATTCTTAATAGAAAAAAATATTTTATATAAAAATATATTTATAACAATACATTTGAAGGTTCATAAGTGAAATGATAAAAGATTACACAAAATTTTATTAACCCCAATCCAATTTTTGGATGTCTTATTTTTTAGTTATTTTTATTTAAATCCATATAAATATATAAAAGGGCAAATTCAGTTATGATAATATTTGTCGTCATTTAATGAACAAATATTTTAATAATACTCTCATATAAATTGGTGCTCAAATTACTCGCGATTTCTTTGACAAATAAAAACGAAATTCTTATGCTAAACTTAAAAAAAAAAACTCAATTATTTAAGTGTTCAAACTTAATTTTGAATTTAATTCGATTTTTTATCAATACTAATTAAAATAGGGGTAAAATACACAAATGATCATTTGACTATAGGGTACCACTTTTTTACGTCCCTCAACTATTAAAAGTTATAAAATGATCATCCGAATATATATTGTTGATTTGTTGAGTCCCTTGATTATTAAAAGTTACTAAATTATCACCCGACTATTCGTTATGTTTCAAACTCGTCATTTTCCGTTAAAAAAGTTTACAATTGTCCAAACTACACGTTAACATGATGATTGTGATATGATAGTCGTTTGAGATTCTTAGATCAAATTTTATTAAATGTTAATGTTCAAATCAAAATATCAACTTTGTAACTAAAAATGACAAGTTTGGAATATAATAAATAATCGAACGACTATTTTATAATTTTTAATAATCAAGAGAGTCAATAAAACAACTCTATAGTCAAAGAACAATTTCGTAACTTTTAATAGTCATTAAACTTAATAAAACAATACACTATAGTCGAGAGACCCTTTGTGTACGTTACCCTTAAAATAATAAAAAGTTTATTCCTTAAAAATAAAAACTCAACACACTATCTTCCCAATGTCTTCAAATTTAACTGGCTCTATAACTAAGTAGAACAGGCTGAGATTAACTCAAATTATCAAAGCCATTTTTTTTAATTGAGCGAGTTACAAGCACAAATATATCCATTACTACATCCATTTGGATAAATACCAAAAAAAAAAAAACTTAATGGGTTATTCCTACCCCTAAGTGAACAGGTTGCCCGGATAATGCCAAGAGCATCAAGGATTTTCTGCTACAGCAGGGAACCATTGGTGAAGAAAATGAGAATTTATATAATCCTAATTCTCACCATGCTAATAAAACCAGACGATCTGGACTTGTTGAATGATTATCTGCACTATAAAACCTCGATTAAATCATTGGATTAGAACCAATTCGAAATGCTGAAATCTCGTAGCTTTCTGAGATGTCTTTCCATGTCTTGTCTGGTTTTATCCCACTCTTCTCTTTCGATTACAGTAGTTGGATCATCTCTTTCACTCTGAAAGCTCAAAAGATAGAAGTGATCAGGTAATGCAAAGCTGGGAATATGACAGAAGGTGATTCGGAGTTGGGATAGTCACCGCATGAATTATTCTGAAGGAGTTTCCATTATCACGTATAACAAGTAGGTCACCCTTTGTCTCCCGGTTTCTTCCTCCCGGAACCGTGACCTACAGAAAATATCGATAACTTAAAATATGGTAAACCACAGAATTAGCAGAAAAAGCGACCAATAAGGTTTGGATAGTTAACTTTAATGCAACAACACTGCACAGGATGAGGCAGATTCCTCAGTGATTGATTATTTGAACATTAATTTGTTACCGTGAACAGTCACACAAAACAATGGATACTTCAAGTTTCCTTTAACTTAGTTTCAACAGAAGAGATTCAATATAGATTCAACTACAAAGTTCGTTACCAAAACTTTGGCACTAATAATTGACTTGGTCTTGGAATCAATCACATATATCTCCTCAAAGTCTAGCACAAATATTGGGTCACCCAGCCTCCGGTTCTTGTAATGTTTTGTCAAAAACACCTGCAATAAGAAAGCAGCCAGCTCATAATACTGCTCAAAGAACTGATTATCCTTAACCTCTGGTTGAGATTACAGAAACTTTTCTACGATATTGCAAATGGAGGAAGGTTATAATTTGTTCTGTTCCGAATTCTGAAATTTATTGATCACACGCATATCCTGGTTTTGCAAACACAGCAAAGCTAAATTAAGACCATTGGCATTTGTAATTTGCATAACAGTATAAGCTTGCACAGGCTTCCAGCTACTTGTAGGGAGCCATAAAGAGCATGTTACTTCAGTTATTCACCAGAGGTCAAAGAACAAAGTAGGCTCCAACCAACAAATTCAAAAGAAATTGGGATTTTAGCCTTCTTTAGGTAAAATCTCTAAACTGGTTGAACCTCACATAATGGTTGAGGATTTCATAGATAAATTTACCAAAGACGAGACTGAAGCATGTGTTTAGAAAGCAGAAAAGATAGATATCATTAATAGTTCTAAAAGAGGTAACAACCAGACAATTGCACTTAAACAATGTTCAGAAAGTCAGGTTTAGGGGGCTGGATTTGGGCAGAGTGAAAACAAGAAGGGAATCGAATTCACATGGTAAACAGATATCACATGAATAAAAAACAGAAGTCATACCTTCATGACCTCTCTCTCAGATTTATAAAGAGGGTCTCGAGGTGCATAAATGGGTGGTTCTGTAACGTTGTAGCAGCCATAATCACTCATTGCACACTGGATGTACTGCACGTTTGTCATGAACAGAGTTGGCCCATTATTGAAATCAAATCAAAATAACAATTCAAAGGATGTCAGTTTTGACCAGCCACTGCCCAAAAAGGTCAAATAAATGAACAAAATATAATAAGACAGCAAGTATAATACACTATTCAAATCTATAACATAATAGATGCACCAAATTTACATCAGAAATTTTATGTCTTACAAGGAAAAAGAACAACAATTGCACACTGCCCTTTGAGGCATCCAAGCCAAAACTTTGGGAATAGAATACACATCTGTATCCGGTGGAGTGACATACATCTAGAAAAACCGTACAGAAAATAGAAATTAAAATCAGATCGAAGTTAAGCACTGAAAGTAGCATAGAGGAAGACCCTCAAGTCAATCAACCAATAGAACACATGAAACTGACATCATTTGTGCAATCCAACTAAGTAAATCTGGTTTGCCAGATGCATGAGTGAGCTACTTTAAAAAAATCAGGGTCTAAACTGAGGAGCAGGTATAGACTGCTTTACGGTAACTAACCAGCAAAGGGATGAGAGCAACTACGACAACAACGACGAAACGTGATCTTCACATCAATCAATTAATAGACTACAGGTTAATAGTGAATGCAGGGAAATTGCGAGATTTGCACAGCACATGAAACTGAGACTATTTGTGCAATCCCGCCAAGTAAATTTGGTTTGGCAGACTTGAGAGTATAGCACTACGAAAAAAAGGGTTTCTACACAGAGAGGAGAGGATGCAGACTGCTTTGTAGTTACAAGTAAAGCAAATGAGAGCACACACAAAAAGATGGGAAAAAGAAAAATATTTCGCCTATGCGACCTAAATGTGGGAAACCTTGCAGAAAATAGCTATTCCAATTATGCAAGTTTTTCACACACAAGGCCTTCAGTAAATGAAGCATTCTCATGGACTATCAAAATAAGGTTTGAATGTTCAGGAACAATGTTTCGGATTCAAGAATGTCCCGAGTATTTCTGTTCTGTTCTATTATAAACTCATACAATCGTCTTCTTCATAAAAGCTAACCAAAAATGCGTCAGTGAAATGAAAACCAGTGAAAATACATCAGAACACCCACAAATAATAATTCAACACAAAGTTTAAGCAAAACCCATATCCAAAAAGCTATTATAAGTAGCACAAAATGACCAGAAACTGCTAACCTCCCTGAAATCATAAACATCATTATCCGGGTCAGGTGGCTTCCGAATAAAAAGATCAAAATCCATCAAGCTAATCTTGTGGAACTCCTCCTCATTTATCCTATACTCCACCACCATATCCGAGTCACACCCTTGAGTAGACACGAAGCTCTTGCTTTCAGTAAGTTCAATGTTGACGTCAACCGTATCAGAAGACGCGGCACCAACAGAGGTGGCGGCCAAAGGGTCGTATTCGACGTCGAAGTCATTCTTGTTGTCGAGTTCTTCCACTTTTTCTTCGTCCATGTCGTAGTCAACGGGTCCCCCAGCATCGGCGTCGCCGTCGTCGACCCGGACGAGGAAGGAGGGTTTAAGAGTAGGAGTTAAGGGAGGGTTTAGGTCTGAGGGAAGGAAAGGGAAGGAGAGGGTGGTTGAGGTGAAGATGATGGAGGGAGGAGGAGGAGTGTTTTGCGGCGACCACTGGCGGGGAAAAGAATAGGGTGGCGGAGGCGGTGGCCATTGTGACGGGAGATCGGGGGAGATGTGAGTACCGACTTTGGATTAGATTTTTGGATCAAGATATATCTTAAAACTTTTGGTTTTTGTTTTTCATTTTTATTTTAGGTAAACTGCATATTTAGTCACCCAACTATCACTTGGTTTCATTTCGATCAGTAAACTATTAATTTTTCAAAATCATACCTACGATTATGTTTTAATTCCATTTTAGTCATCTGTTGTTAAAAGAATAACATTGATTCTGATGTGTCACAATAAAATAATGCCATATTATAATTGAAAAATGAAAAAAATTATCACATCAACAATTCTATTTATATTTTAATGGCGAATTATCAAAACATAATTAAAATGTAATGTTAGATATATTTTTGAGAAAAAAGTAGTTGGTGATTAAAATGACAACAAACTGATAATTGAGTGACTAAATATGTATTTTACCCTTTTGTTTTCGGGTGTCTAGATCGTGACACTAAAGTTTGAGTAATTGTTTATTTACTCATTGAAGATTCAAAAGTTATGATATGGCCACTGATATTGTTAATATATTTCAAAATGATCACTAAACTAATTAACTTTACATGTTTGATTTTTATATAAAAATATATTTTTAATTAAATTAAAGAAAATAGTTCATAAAATTAACTTTAAACTTTTTTTAAATACTTAAATATAACCCTTAATGTTTTATAAGGTTTCTTAGCTTAAACAAAAATGTTTTGGGACGTCTAAATGACTTAAAATATGTTTGAAAGATTTTAAAGGTAGGCTTTAAAGGCTTTTAAGTCTGAAAAGCATATTTAGCATTGATGTCTTTTTTAGGTATCAATATCTCAAATGAAGTATTGGTGTTTTTAATAAAGATCAATATCAAATGCTTAATGTTGAAGTAGTCATTTTGTGATATATTGATAATATTGATGATCATAACATTAATTTGAAATTTTAATGAGTAAAATATAAACTTATATGAATTTTAGTGACCATGGTTGTACTTTTACCCTTTATTTTTAGGATAAATCACACGATGATTCTCGATTATAGGGATTTTGTTGAGTCCCTCGACCAATTAAAGTTACAAAATTGTTCTCCGACTATAAGACATTACTTTGTTGAGTCCCCGACTATTTAAAGTTACAAAACAGTCTCCTGACTATTCATATATTCCAAACTCTTTCTATATCGTTCAAAATTTGGCAGTTGTCTAAGTTGGAAGTTTACATTCTTACAAGGATACGATAAAAATCCAATCCCAAAATTATTCGAGTTGTATTTTTGTGGACGATTCTTTGTCTATATTATGTCATTGAGCCAATGTTGGAAATAATCTATCGTCGAATCATTTCTTGAAAGAAACGGTGGTGCCAATATACATCGTTAAAATGCATATTAACGTCTTGCTCAGAGGATAGCCAATTTTTTAAAGAAAAAGAACGAGTTTCGAACATATGAATAGTCGAGTGACCATTTTGTAACTTTTAATTGTAAGAGGACTAAACAAAGTATTACCTTATAGTTGGAAATCATTTATGTACTTTATCCTTATTTTTAAAAGAAAGGTAAACCACACAATAATTATACTTTTAGGTTATTTCATTTTGGTCACCGAACTTTTAAAATTGTATTATAGTCACTAAGTTTTTAATTTGCGTTCATTGCGATCATTGCCATTAGTTGTCGTTAAAAAGCTAGTGTGACACGTTAAAAAACCTTATGCTTCTTCTTTTATATTAATAGTCATTACTCCTTTGACATTCGATGATTTCTCCGATTGAAAATACCATTGAACTCATTCTCATCTTCTTTTTATTTCCTTCGATTTAAAATAATAATAATAAAAAATTATAATCTACTTAAATTGCAATTAAAACTAAATGACAAAACTTTATAATTTTCCACTCTCAACTATTGGATCAAATTGAACTGAACTATATTAACTTTATGGCCAAATTGAACATTCCCACATAGTGGCGGATCCGAAAAAAATTTGAGGGTGGACACAAATATAATAATATAAAATTTTAAGATAAAAATACAATAATATTTTAATAATAATAAAAAGTCATACAAAAATCACAACAAAAAATAAATATTTTACAATTGTTCATTCTGATATCGTTGTATTATCTTTTCATTGTCTACATTATCAAATATATCTTTCTCAATAAAAGTAATTAAACAATCATTCATCTCCCATATGGTTACGCAGTCGATTTTTTATAAAGTGCATTGCATAGAATGTTCTTTCCATTGTTACGGTTGCAACCGGTAAAATCAAAGCTACCTTCAAAAGCAATACACAAGTGGATACACAACATGCTTCACTGTCTTAACCATCTTCTCAGGTAAATCAGAAAGTCCTTTTAGATCATAAAATCTTTCATCTGAACGAACATCAACAATATAATTCTCAAGTTGACAATCAAGCAACATTAGATCTCCTGTAAAAAATTCACAATGATGAAATTGGGCAAGACAAATCAACTTTTTTTTATCAATAGAACGATACAAGTCTCTTGGACTAAAGCTACCCACACAAAGAAACAACTATGTACTTGTCTTACAAAAACGATTATTAAGCTCTTAAATTGTTTATCAATCACTTGATAAAATAATTTAACCTGAAAATGCTGCAAATTTGAAATTTCTTTATCTTTTCTCCTAGACCTTCCTGTAACATCAATTATATTTTTTATCTTTGGAACCTCAAATTTTATTCTTTTTAAAACAAAGAAACTTCTTCAAGTAAAGATTATCATCCCACATCTCTCATCATTTGTAATCAATGCTTGTACACACTAGCTAATTGCATAGCATTCACAATGTCTTGATCACTCCGTTGCAATACTTGAGATGATTCACTAGTAACCCCTAATATATTTTTTATAAAGTGCAAAAGAAAAGAAATTTAGAAGACTGTAAAGAACTCAACAATAAACAAGCTTCAACTATTTTCTTTAAGTACACTCCATCTTCCTCAATAATTTCAAGCACATCTGTCACATAAGGAAGCATAATAATCAATCTAACAATATTTTTATAATGTGAACCGTAACGAGTATCTCTATCACTCTTTATAAATAATAGTTTCATGATTTAATCCACGACCACTAAAGATTTCACCATTTTGTAGTGCTTCTTTTACCTTAATCATTTAACTAGATTAAAGAAGTTATTTTCTTTTACATGAAGTAATGGCCACATTAACCACACTAGCAACCAAATTAAAAAGAAAGACAAACTCAACTTATTTTTTTAGAAACATCAACAAGTGCTAATTGAAGCTGACCTGCAAAGTAATGGGCATAAAAAAACACAATTGTTATATGTTATAGCCAAACTTTTAAGATCATTAAATTCTCCTTACATATTACTTGTCCCATCATAACCTTGTCCTCTTATTATTGAAAAACATAATCCATGAGTTGCAAACACATCTTCAAGAGCATTCATAATTGAAGCAACGAAAGTATTAGAAACATGAAAAATACACAGAAATCGTTCGAAAACTCTTTTTTTATCTATGTATCGTAGAACGATAACCATTTGCTCTTTAATTAATATGTTACATGACTCATCAACTAGAATAGAAAAAAATTATTTATAAGATCATCAATAATTATATAATTAGTCTCACTAGTTGTACACTAATAATATTTTTTCGTATACTTGGTGCTACTAGCTTAAGATTGTCACAAGCATTTTTGAAAACATTGTTAACAGTTTAATTATGAGTATCAAGAAACTAAAAAAACTCAAGAAAGTTACCTTGATTACAAGAATCATGAGACTCATCATGTCCATGAAAAGTCAATCCTTGTAAAAAAAAAAGAATTAAACGTAATCAATTGTAATTGTAAGATGAGTATGGTATTCGCTTTTGGTTTGATTAGATTATTTTCTAATGATGTAATGTCATGATTTATGGGTTATTAGTTTCGGGTAAAACCCAAATGAGTTTATTTGCGCTAAGGAAGTTATTTAAAAGTTTTGGGTAATTGCTTGCTTGGCTTGGATTAGACTTGAGCCCAATCAAGCTTCAAAAATGATATTTTTATAATGAGCTTCAAGTAAGGAGGACTAGGAGTGTGATTTTCCCTAGCTTGGTCAAAAAGGCCGAATTTATTTAATTACTTGGTGAAGTTATGACAGAAGGCTTAAACAAATTTGGGAGTGGTTCTTTCATCTCTTTTTCACTTCCATTTTTCCTTGTCTTCTTCTTTTTTTCTCTTTGGCTAGAAGGAAAAGGGTAGAGCTTTGTTGGGTTATACTCCTAGTCTGAAATTTAAAAGGTAAGGTTGATAATCTTCTCCTCTAGAGCTTCATTTTGAGCTCTCAACTTAGTAGTTTGGCCATGGAAGCTTGAGTGAGAGTTGAGTGGGGTTTTGAGTTCTAGAACCCCTTGGGGCTCCAAATCCATTTTGGAAGCTTAAATACCCTATTTTTAACCTTCGCAGATCCTTAAATGAGTTTATAACTCACTTCTTTGATGTGTTCTAGTGAGAAAAGAAGGTGAAGGCTCAAAGGACAAAGACAAGGGAAAACACGTGTTTGGGTGATTTTGAGGTCGTTTTTACAACTCTTATAAGTGAGGTAACATGATTCTGACTTGTCCATACTACATGTAGTTCATTGTATATGCATTATGATTTGTTTAGTTCATGAAGGATGCTAGAGTAATTTCCATGACAAGATTCATGTTTTTGTGTCGTGATCATTAAAATTAGTACCTTTTGACCTCCTAGTCACTAAATAAGATGTTAAGCATGTTTGGTAGTCTTAGGGGAATTGTTGGGTGTTTCTTGAGCTTAAGTAAGTCATTCCCAGAAAAAGGATCAATTCCTCAACCAAAAGGATCAATCCCAAAGTTTATGTCCAACAAAGGATCGATCCCTTTTGAAAAGGATCGATTCCTCAGGAAAAAAGACCGATCCCTCGACCAAAAGGATTGATTCCAAACTTTCTATTGTTCATAGGATTGGCCCATTTTCAAAAGGATCAATCCCTCGGGGGAAAATGATTGATCCCTCTAAATAAAA